AGTTTCATCCTATAGTGACTTGTGTCAGGGAGTCACTGAGGCTGTGGCTAGTGCCAGCAGAGACTGCCTCCCTATATAATGTATCTAACAATAATATTGTATTTCCCCATTGTATTGAATGAAAAATGGTTAGCATTTAAAAATGCTGTAAAATGGGGGAAAATCATTTTTGGCCTTGGGTTTTTTCCAGTTTAAACAAGATACATCTTACCTTTGTTTCCCCCAAATTTGTAAGCACTGCCATACCTTTATCGCTTTAATTCTATAACTATTAACTAAACGCTAGGCTTTGTGAATGTTCATCTTTAAGAAAAGGTGGGAAAAAATTCTTATACGCCCATTACGTGTCCATCCTTAGCTACTACCTTGCATATGGTAGAGAAAAACATCTGAAGAGGAATGAGGGGAGGGGAGGAGAAAAGACGGACAAAGAAAATAGCAGATGTTCAAATTCCAGTTCTGCCATTTATATTAGCTGTGTGAACTTGAACCAGTTGCCATATTACCCTCAGGTTGCTAAAGTATGAGGAATAATCATATCTGTTTTGTAACGCTGTAAGAAGGACATGAAATGAAGGTATTAAAATTAAATGTGTATAGTCTTGGTCCCCCTTCTAAGGGGAAAAGGGGAGAAACAGCCGAGGCTTGAGGATTTGCTTGAGGCCAGGAGTTCGAGACCAGTCTGAGCAAAAGCGAGACCCTGTCTCTACAAAAAAAAATAGAAAAACTAGCTGGGTGTGGTGATGCATGCCTGTAGACCCAGCTACTTGGGAGGCTGACACAGGAGGATCGCTTGAGCCCAGGAGTTTGAGGTTGCAGAGCTATAACAATGCCACTACACTCTAGCCCAGGCAACAGAGCAAGACCCAATTAAAATAAAAAAAAAAAAAGAGGGAGAAACATTTTGCGATCCCATTCCCATTACATACCTTGATTCTAAAACCTTAATCAGGGATTTGGGAATATTGTAAAAACAACCTTCCTCAGATTTACACAAGGATGTGAAAATGAATATGCCATTCACTCAGAGGGAAGTTGAAAGAGGATTTTGTCTTTCCAACAATTCCAGAGAGAGTATTTAGCTATGTTTTATAGATATTGAGAAGAAAAGGAAGGCTTAGTTATTTTGTAAAGTACCAAATTGTCAAAGAAGTGAATTTGTGAGCCATCAACCACATCTTCCCATGAACACTTCCTGTCACTACCTTGGAGCTCATAAAGTTCCTGTCGCTGGGTATAATCTGATTATAACTGGGTGTAAAACATCTGTAAATCTCTTCAAAAATCTTATCCCAGCCTTATCTCTTGCACAGTCCCAGGTCAACTTCTACCCTGATCTCAAGTCACCCCCTTGGCTGGCACCCACATGGAATTAATTACCCGCGGTTCCCAGGAAGCAGCATTCTCTTTCCTGCTGGTCCTCTGCATGTGCTGCTTTTATCATTTCTTTAGTAAAACTCTCCCAAGGCTCACAAGATTGAGTTAGGGCTCCTTATGGATGTTGCTAGCTCATCCCATACTTATCTTTCCAATGAGTTCTTCTCTTAGCACTTACGATACTTTATTATAGGTCTATTGAGTTGCCTACCTCTTGTCCCAACTGTCTAGTCCAGTGTTCTTTTTTTTTCTTAGATGGGGTCTTGCTATGTTGCCCAGTCTGATCTCGAACTCTTGGGTTCAAGCAATTCTCCCGCCTCAGCCTCCCGAGTAGCTGGGGTTACAAACACACAACACCTGGCCCAACCGTATATTCCTTGAGGGCAGCCAGCACTTATTCCTTTGAAAATCTACGTCCAATAGAGCATCTAGTCAAGTTAGTCACCCACAGGAAACACTAATTTGTCAAATTAATATTTGGCATTTCTATTCTTGACTCCCTTATTTTAGTGTTTAGCCACAAACTATTCATTAAAAAACTAGAATAAAACTGATGGCAATCTACCGATAACATATCATTTCTCATAAAGCAATGCAGATTTACAACAGGACAATTGATACAAAGAGATCCTAAATTCCAGTTGCTTCAGCCCCTTCATGTGATGTGGAAGACCACAGAGGGGTGAATATGTACTGACTCACAGTGACCTATGATCACTAGACCCTATGATTACTTGACCTTCTTTATAAGAAGATGGGCTAGTTAATCAGAGAAATGAGGCTAAAACTTAGGTATTCCCACTTCCAGTCCAATGGTCCTTACCTATGAAAACTTAGGTATCGATACCTAAGAACCCGATAACAACAAACACTAAGAACACCAGGTACTCTCCTATGAGCTCCTGTTTTGCAGATTAGAGATTTAAGGCAGAGAGAGAAAAAGGCAACATACCCAGAAGCATAGAGCTAACAAGTGCTAGAGCCAGGATTTGAACCCAGGCGAGTCTGGATCCAAAGTCCGCACTCTTAAATATGATGCAACGCTGCCTAACTCTGATCTTGTACATGTAATTGAATGCTGTTTATGATAAGAAATAAAAGATGGAAATCTTATAAGTGCTTTGTGTAGTTGTTGTTGTTGTTGGTCGGAAAGGAAATTTTGATGCCTGACATAGGAGCCTGAGAGTGATAGGATAAGGGTGGTTGTTGGCATTGTCTTTTGCTGTTGTCAGGCTTATGGAGCGAGGGCAGCTGTGGAACAGGATAGGGTTGCTTTTAGAGAATGGAATCTCTCAACACCTCAAAAAGAAATCCCTCAACTTGTCTCTGTGCCACTATGGTTTGTGGCCAGTTTAATTCCACAGAAACCAAACAGAGCATGTCACCAAAGCAACAGGTGTCAGGTGGTACACAATGCATTTTAACAATCCCAAAATAATGCTATTGTTCATGATAGGAAAAAAAAAAAGTAACGCATAATCATGAGAGTGTGTTCTGAAACACATTTAAAAGGGAATGACAAGTGTACCATAAAAATACAGTCACTGGTAAAAATGATGGCGAATATAAATATCTCTTATCTAAGGTCTGCAGAAATTCAATGTTTTTAGCTTTGATGGGATGGGATCTTTTTGGAAAAGGCAACCTTTCTCCTGTGGTGTAGAATGCAAACCCTACGTGATGTGTGTAGCCACTTCATCTTAGTTTTTAAGCTCCTACAGTACATGGATCATGTCACAGAAGTCCCCATAAAAGAGCTCAGTGGTGACCATTGCCAAAGAAAAGTGGAGTCATCTGAGCTAACCATAAACTCCAAATTTGCTGTGCTCAGTATCCAACATCATTTTTTTTTCATAGTCTTTCTCTACCTATGAATTTTAAACAACCTTGATGTGTCTGCCTATCTCTCTCTTGAAACACACAACTAAAAAAACTAAAGGCTTGTTAACCAAAATACACTTGGTAAAAAGAAAAAAAAAATAAATGCTAACTAAGTCTAATGCATCTACTATCTTTGAATAATAAAAGTTTCAATGTGTACATTTTGCAGTGACAGTGACAATCTGGTACAACAAGTCCATATGACAAGTATGGAGGCATTTGGATTATACCCTATATGGCAAAAGCACTTGACTCTTAAATAGGAATTTGACTTCTTGAGATTTTTTCCTTGTACCCTAAGCAGGTAAAAGCAAGCATAACCTTTCCTAATACTGTCTCTAAGTGCTTCTACTCTTGAATGCTATCAAGTGTGTCAGAAAAGAGACATTAGTATCAGAGTTTTCCTCTAGGTTCATATATTCAACAAATATCTGAGCCCTTTAAAATTAATAGTGACTTGGGAAACTCCTTCTTGAAATAAGTAATGGTAAGTGTATGTGAACTGCAGGAGGCAGGATCACACATTGATCGTGAGCTAACATACTGGGAGTCAAACTCAGCTCAAGTTCTGCCTGATTCTACCATTTTCTGCATGCCTCTGGGACAACTCGTAAATTTGAAGTTATTTTCCTCATGAAGGAAATGAGGATAGGTAATAATAATTGATACATTATGAGGCTGCTGTTAAAATTAAGTAAGGCCATGTATTTAAGATGCTCAGCAGAGTGTCAAACAGAGAGCGAGCACTGATCATTCACAGAATTGTTAACTAAACTCAGGGAAGGGGCACAGGAGAAAGCTTAGGAGGGACTCAGGAAGGTGCTGGTTCTCAGCACAGAAGTAAGGAAGTGCCACACAGAGAACTTCTTCTGGCCTTGTGCTAGTCCATCAAAAGGCCCGAATAAAAGGCACTTTGTGAGAAGCACAAGCAAACCCGCCAAACAAAAGACCAACGCACGACATGGACCTAGTCATAAAAGGAGGAGGAACATTCACAAAAAGAGTAATTACCCCCAGAGTCAGGGAACTCAGGCAGGACTGCTAGCTAGATTTAGAATAAAACAAGGAAAGGCCAGAGGAGAACAATGAAAGGTCCTAACATGTAGAGTTTGTGTCTGAAGTTTTCCTCTCTGAAATAAAACCTGTACACCTGAACTGTCTGCTCTGATAGGGACTGCAGAAAGTGCCTGGCATTTCCTCAGGGAGGAAGAGTAAGAAAGGGAAACGTACAGGAGAACTTAGCAAGGGGATGGTGGGGGAATCTTGTTTAATGATTGTCCAGGGAGGTAGGGCAGAAAAGCTGCCTTCTAGCCACGGAATATATTTGTTTCACTCTAACTCCTTTACAGAAGAGCAGGTCTACTTGACAAGCTTTTTCTTAAATCACATTCATATCTTTCCCTATGTATCTCCTTATTTGTGGCTGTTCATTTGTATCCTTTGTAATATATATATATATATATATATATATTTTTTTTTAAAGGCAGTAAATGTAAGCACTTTCATATCTCGTCTTATGTATCTCCTCATTTGTGGCTGTTCACTTGTATCCTTTGTAGTATTTTTTTTTAAGGCATTAAATGTAAGCAAAGTTTTTCCCTGAATTCTGTGAGCCATCCTAGCAAATGAATCAAACACTAGGAGAGGGTCATGGGTACTGCAACTTATAGCTAGTTGGTCAGAGGCTTAGGTCACAATCTGGTCCTTGTTACTGGCACCTGAAGCGGAAGTCTTATGGAGACTGAGCCCCCAACCTGTGGGATCTGACGCTATCTTCAGGTAAATATTATCACATTTGACTTACAGGAAACCCAGTTGGTTTCTACCGGAGAATTGCTGAGTGTATGTGAAAACTCCCAACACATCTGGTCACAGATGTTGAGTAGAGAGGAACAGTCTATTTTGCCTTTAGGTTTTGTGTCAGAAGTGGGATGTTGAGTGATTGTGTAAGAGTATGCCAAACACTTTATCTTTTCCTATCTCTAATAGTATATTTTTATAAATATTTGGAAATTAAAAAAAAGACAACCCTACCAAAGAAAAAAACCAGTAGAACCTGAGCTGAGCAGCCAGCTGATATGCTTACAAAATTTATGTAAGTGTATCATTTTCACATCAAAACAGGAAGAGAAACAAGGCTTTTTCTTCCTCAAATCAAGAATTAATGAGTATTATCCATGGAAAGCACAGAGATACATTTTTAGGATCAGTCTAAGGCAATCAATGAAAAACTCGGTGGAGAAAGGAATGTTAGCAAGTAAAAATCCAGGGAACTGGCACAGAAATCTGATATGCAGGTACTAAAGAGCTGAGCTCTAACACTTCACATTTAAGGGATTTCTGAAAATGAATGACAAAACATTAGGTATTTTTAAGACTTAGTTCCGACTGCCTCTTTTCTAAAAACCTTTAATATTATCTAATCATAACATTTGAAATATTCTTAATTCCCCATTTTATTTTAACAACTTAATGGAAAATGTTACCAATGGAGTAAAATCTCTCACTATACCTATAGTCTAAAATCATTCGATACTTTCAAAGCTTTACAATACACAAAGCAGTGTAATGAGGGGTTAAGAACACAGGCTCAGGGTTTAAACTTTCTGGGACTCAGTTATTCTTTGGGCAACTAATTCTCTATGCCTTAGGTTCCACATCTATAAAAAAGATAATATAGGCCGGGCGCGGTGGCTCACGCCTGTAATCCTAGCACTCTGGGAGGCTGAGGCGGGCGGATTGCTCAAGGTCAGGAGTTCAAAACCAGCTGGCGAGACCCCGTCTCTACCATAAAAATAGAAAGAAATTAATTGGCCAACTAATATATATAATATAAAAATCAGCCGGGCATGGTGGCTCGTGCCTGTAGTCCCAGCTACTCGGGAGGCTGAGGCAGGAGGATCACTTGAGCCCAGGAGTTTGAGGTTGCTGTGAGCTAGGCTGATGCCACGGCACTCACTCTAGCCTAGGCAAGAAAGCGAGACTCTGTCTCAAAAAAAAAAAAAAAAAGATAATTAATAATAGTAGCCTCTACTTCATTGGGATGATGCAAGAATAAGTAAGATATTAATGTAAAACAATGTGTGGCACATTATAAAATGAATATATATTATTAACTAATGTATTCATTATTATTATAAATTAACAAATTCTTCATCTATTACTGTACAAAGGCATTGTATTGAACATATCTCAAACCCTCCAAAAATGTTTAAACATTTTCACCTCACACCCATTAGGATGGTCACTATAAAAAAAAGAAAATAGCAAGTGCTAGAAAAATGTGAAGAAATTGGAACTCTTAGCCCTCTTAATGGAATATAAAATGGTACAGCTGCTATGGCAAATGGTATGGAGGGTCCTTAAAAAATTAAAATATTTTGGAGGCCAAGGCAGGAGGACCACTTCAGGCCAGGAGTTCGAGACCAGCCTGAGTGAGTGGGACCCACCTTCAAAAAATAGAAAATTAGCCAGGCATGGTGGTGTGTACTTAGTCCTAGCAACTTGGGAGGCTGAGGCAGGAGAGTTGCTTGAGTCCAGGAGTTAGAGGTTGCAGTGAGCTATGTTGATGATGCCACTGAACTCTAACCCAGCAACAGAACAAGAACTTAGCTCAAAATAAATAAAATAAAATAGAATTATGATATGATCCAGCAATATTACTTCTTAGGATATGTAAATATGCAAGAGAACTGAAAATAGCATCTTAAAAATGTTTATACAACCATGTTCATTAACATTATTTACCATAGCCAAGAGGTGTAAGCAACCTAATGTCCATCAGTGAATGGATACAGAAAATACACACACACACATATACAAAAGAATACAGTAGTTGCCACATATCTACGATTTTACTTTCAGATATTTCAGTTCCCCAAGGTGCAGTACAATAAGATATTTGAGAGAGAGATACATTCACATACCTTCTATTATAGTATATTATATATAATCATTTTTATTGTTAATCTCTTATGCCTAATATATAAATTAAACTATATCATGGATTTGTATATAAAGGGAAAAAATCATAGTGTATGTATAGGGTTCAGTACTATTATAGTTTTTTGCACCCACTGAGGGTGGTCCTGGAACATATAGGCCACAAAGAAGGGGAAACTACTGTATTATCCAGTTTATAAAAGAAATCCTGCCATATACAAAACCATAGGTGAACCTTGAGGACATCATGCTAAATGAGATAAACCAGTCACAACAAATGCAAATACTGCAAGATTCTACTTAGATGATGTATCTAGAAGAGCCAAACACATAGAAACAGAAAGTAGGATGGAGGTTGCTGGGGTGGGGTGGGGAGAGTGGAGAGGTGGGGGACACAAGAGAGTTGGTTTTTAATGAGTATAGAGTTTCAGTTGGACAAGATGAAAAGGTGAACAACAATGTACATACAGTTAACACTGATGTACCATACACTTAGAAATGGTTCAGATGGCAAATTTTATGTCATATCTAAACATCATTTCTTTTAATATGAATTTATATTTACTATTTGTTGTTGTTTTTTTAGAGACAGGGTCTCCCTCTATTGCCCAGGCTAGAGTACAGTGGCATCATAGCTCACTGTAGCCTCCAACTTCTGGGCTCAAGCGATCCCCGCCTCAGCCTCTCGAGTAGCTGGGACTACAGCCATGCGCCACCACACCCAGCTAATTTTTAAAAAAATTGTTTTGTAGAGACAGGGTCTTGCTATGTTGCCAGGCTGGTCTCAAATTCCTGGCTCAAGAGACTCCCCCTACCTATGCCTTCCAAAGTACTAGGATCACAGGTGCTAGCCACTGTTCCCAGCCATTTACTTTTAAGTATAAACACTAAATATTTTACCAGCACTCTTTACCTATTTTCCTTTTATGTGAAACTTTTAAATTGTATAAATGAGCTCCAATGACTAGTCTTCACATTGTTGAAATCCATTATCAGCAACTTTAAAGAAAGTGAATTAATACAGTTTATAACTTGAGTTAATGTATAACTTATAAGGTTATTGAAGTTTATCAATATATCAGAATATGATATATTAAATGATATATTTTAATATATCAGAAAAATAAATCACTGTCTTGGCTTATAAAAAAAAAAAATCTTACTCATGCCATTCATTCATGCCAAAATTCTGAACCTCACCCTGCCATTTCTTGCAATTTGCCTAACATCTTGGCTTTTAACAAGCTCTTACTGATGTTCTCTTCCTACAGATTTAGCAAATCATATTGAATATTTATATACTCCTACAACTATACCAAACAAAAGTGACCCACACCAATAGGAACTTCTGACAACAGAACTCTCACTATTCATTTTATTTCTCCACATTTAGGGTGAACTTCTAGTATACCATCACTGGGTTTAACCATAACTAATTTTGAGTTTCCTGGAGAATGCTTTTATTGTATAATTATTTCTAATGTATGTATAAAAGCATGCACTTTCAAAACTAGAAAGGACAAAGTATCATTCCAACTATTTTGTGCTCCAGCATTTCATATGCTGATCTTAGACTGAGGCAATTCTCACAAGGGCTGAATGAAACAACCTCCTGTGTCGAGACTTGGTTTTGGGTGGAGGGAGAGTAAGAAATGAAGGAAGCTAGTCGAATTTCAGAGAGCACTGATGCCTTTGTTTGGAGGTTTATCTTGAATCAAAGAACAGCCTCTATTACTTCATCAAAACAAACAGTCATCAGATAGTACAGATTATGGATGGCCTGTCCTCAGGGAAAAAGGCCAGTGGATAATAGACGGCCGGCGCGGTGGCTCACGCCTGTAATCCTAGCACTCTGGGAGGCTGAAGGCGGGCGGATTGCTCAAGTCAGGAGTTTCAAAACCAGCCTGAGCGAGACCCGTCTCTACCATAAAAATAGAAAGAAATTAATTGGCCACTAATATAATAATATAAAAATCAGCCGGGCATGGGGCTCGTGCCTGTAGTCCAGCTACTCGGAGGCTGAGCCAGGAGGATCACTTGAGCCAGGAGTTTGAGGTTGCTGTGAGCTAGGCTGATGCCACGGCACTCACTCTGCCTAGGCAAGAAAGCGAGACTCTGTCTCAAAAAAAAAAAAAAAAAGAAATATAATAATAGTAGCCTCTACTCCATTGGAATGATCAAGAATTAGTAAGATAATAATGTAAAACAATGTGTTGGCACATTATAAAATGAATATATATTATTAACTATGTAAATCATTATTATTAAATAAATAACAATTCTTCATCTATTACTGTACAAGGCATTGTATTGAACATATTCAAACCCTCCAAAAATGTTTAAAATTTTCACCTCACACCCATTAGATGGTCACTATAAAAAAAGAAAAATTTATGTAAGTGTATCATTTTCACATCAAAACAGGAAGAGAAACAAGGCTTTTTCTTCCTCAAATCAAGAATTAATGAGTATTATCCATGGAAAGCACAGAGATACATTTTTAGGATCAGTCTAAGGCAATCAATGAAAAACTCGGTGGAGAAAGGAATGTTAGCAAGTAAAAATCCAGGGAACTGGCACAGAAATCTGATATGCAGGTACTAAAGAGCTGAGCTCTAACACTTCACATTTAAGGGATTTCTGAAAATGAATGACAAAACATTAGGTATTTTTAAGACTTAGTTCCGACTGCCTCTTTTCTAAAAACCTTTAATATTATCTAATCATAACATTTGGAATATTCTTAATTCCCCATTTTATTTTAACAACTTAATGGAAAATGTTACCAGTGGAGTAAAATCTCTCACTATACCTATAGTCTAAAATCATTCGATACT